GATTTACAACATTAAGTATTAACGGGTTTCAAACTCTGTGATAACTACATAAATGGGCCATGTAATTGCTCTTGACAGAAATTCACCTTACGTCTTTAGATTTAGCAATTCCGATTAAATGCATTGAGCCTTTCAGATGAAATTATTAGGTGCGTTATAAATGCTTTATTTAAGAACCATTGTTGGTGAAGGAACTTGAAACATACATTATCTTGATCTGCCTTTTATTCAATGTGCAACAGCTAAACAATATATGTCTTTTTTCATCCTTCTTTTTGATAGTGCTGTCATTTTGTAAGTAATCCATGGAAGGGGAAGATTATAGGTACTTACGTTATTCTACAGATATATTTTCAAAAATATCTTGTGCACAATAGCATGTCTGCTTTTTTCCTGGTTTTGAGACAATGATATATCAAAAGTTAAGGAATATCAGAATTGTACGTAATTTCAAAAGTTGGTGGTTTATGTTTTTGAACAATAGGAGCAGTATTCATGCTCTTAAAGTAGCATGTCATTACAACGGTTAGATCAGATGTAATATCATGAACTCTATATTAATGCCAGATGAATGAAACTATTTGAAGGATGAGATCAGATAAATTCAGATTAAAAAGAAGGATGCAGACTTTTAACAATAAGCAAAAAAGAACCTATGAAATAATTTATTTTGGGATATAGAGATATCTGTGTACTGAAAGGGAAGCAAAAATGGTTCTGTAAGACATGCTCCGTCCTTGCTTAGCTAGGCGTCTGCATTTATGAGTCAGGGGAATTGGGCTGCAAATTCTGCAAAAGAGTCAGAGCAGGTCACGCTAGGTCATCCACAAAATCCCATTATGGTTTTAAATATATCTGGAAACATGGAAAATGTCATTCTTTCAGTTCAAGGTGTGTATTCCTGTATATGAGAGAAGCAAACTTTAAGGCTAGTCTAGGGACCTTCTTTGGGGACTTAAATCAGTCGATTGTAAATAAAAGAAAATAGCCCCTGCTCTTCTATTCCTCTTTTCGTCCTCTCTTCTCTCAACTTCCCTTATCCCTTCAGAATGAAAATCAGGACCTGCCAGGGCAAGCTGGGTGTCTCTGCAGACCAGCCGATGCTCCCTGGTCACCTCCACCCTGCTGTGGCAAGTCTCATGCTGGGTCTTTACCTTGTACTATTTTCTTGTGTGGATTCTTTCATCAGTAGAAAGGAGGAGGGCTGGCTTTCCAGTGGTGTTTGGGTGTCCTGCTACATCGTGCTGGTGAGAAGAATTCTCTGTATGATGCAGAATTAGATTTTCCATTGTTTACAGAAAATAAAAAATGTACTCACGATGTAGAGGTTTCTAAAGAGGAGATGTAACTAGGCTTTGAAGTTTCTAAGGAGATATATCTGTATATTCTAAAAGTAATGAATCAGACACTTGATTTGGTTATTCTTCATTAATTTCTCATTGATTTATTTATACTTGTGTTTTGCCAAGATTATACAAATAATATATTTTAAAAGAAGCCAAAATCAAGTATGAATGTGAGGTTAGTTTTGTGATGGAATGATCCTGAAAGAAGTCCCAAAGCTGGTTTTGGCCAAAGCTCTGCTGGTAGTGCTTCCCCATGTGAAGTTAGCGTGTTTGTAATTAAATTTGAACCACAGTTAAACTGTGTTTTCTATGATGTGCCTATTATTGTTCTTCATAAAAAATACATTTTTTTATTTTCCTCTGCAGTGTAAAGTAAACATGGCATACAAATTTACGGTGAGACTTGTCCACAAACACATGAGATCATGGATATTAGTCTGAGCATAAACTTTCTATTACATTCAATTTACTGCTAGTGCAATAAAACTGTCATCAGATCGAATGGGATTTTATACTGCATCAGCTATAATACAATGCTATTAAATTGGAAGTATATAAATTTTCCATTGTTCTCCTACTCATGAGCTGTGAAAATTAGAAAGTTACACACAACATCATGCTATGGCTTGCATATTCCAACAGATAAGTAGTGATTTAGTCAGGGTAATTTGAGGCATATAATTAATTTCTGATTATAAGACTGTTCTGCAGTGTGAAAAACAGTATGTTTTACTGTACTAAGGGCCTGAAATCTTTTTATGAAAATTTGTAGGAAAAAAAATGTAGAGAAAAAGCTCAAACAGTAATTCCCTAATTTTGTTTGGGACAAAGAATAGTAGACAAAATCCAGAAATAAAAAACGTCCTTCATGTAACCCAAGATAGGGGAGAACCAAAAACAGTTAATGGAACTGCACTCACTTTAAAAAGGCAGCTTCAAAACAACACCGGTTTTCAATAAGTTCAGTCTGTGGGCCCGTAGTTCAAGAAATCTAGAGCCACCAGAGCTCACTTCTCAGCTTGGAGATGAGAATACCCAACTTCAGGTCACTGTCCCTTGCCCAGTTTGCTATGCTTAGGTACAATGATGCAACTCAAGGCTGAAACAAGCAGCTTCCTTGGGCAACACTAGGGGTGTTCTGACAAAAGAATGACCACCAAGGTATCTTTTTTTTTTTTTTTTTTTAAGTCCTTTCTCATAGTTTTCAAGATTAGACATTTCTATTCGTTCACTTTAAAGTACCTTCTCATTTGCAACTATTTGATATTACACAATGTATTACAGTGTCTACACACACAATTAATACAACGTGCTCTGTATGCAGCATATGGAACACAGCATTTTAAAAATCTACACTGAATCAAAAATGAATAATGTATTCATGTATATTGCATTTAATTTTGGTAAGAAGTACAAAAGTTTATTATTTAATATTTACATTCCGCTGATGCTCAGAGACCTGTCAGGATTGAAGTGATGGTTGTACTATACAGATATGCCCCTTGCCCTTATGAAACCTAGAGATGTCTTTCACTTTTCATATATGGCAAGTCTGAAAATATATCTAAATACTAGTGGATGGGTGATCTGAAGAGACCTTATCGCAACTGAGCCTTCTGTTTTCAATTTTTCATGGTCTGTTCTGTTATGTGTAGGTTCATTAGACATGCGTTGAGCTTTGTGACTGACGTCTTCCACAATTAGTGCTCACATATAATTAGATGCAATGCTGACAAGGACTCTGTTGTTTTCTATAGTTTCATAGAAAGGCCTTTTCCTTCTTTTTTGGCACTGATCCATTAAAACCGTTGCACCATGTTCAGCTGGAGACTGGGGTTGAAAATAATTTAGAGCCATTAAAACGTTGCTCATGTGTCAGTGGCTCCACCACTTGGATTCATTTGGTTTTTACAGATACAGTAGTTCATAGGGGAATCCTTTCTGGAAACATAAAACATCCTGAGGCAGTGCCCTAGTAAAAGCATCTGGCTCAATTGCTCTATCCTGCAGGTTTAATGTTCAGTGCCTGATTACCAGTGAAGTTTAATTATGAGTTATTTTACTAATAATTTGGGTTACGTTGTCCCCTAGTGGCTCGTATAGATAACTGCCCTGCTGACAGGCCCTTTTTGCCTTCTGTTTTTAAATTCTCACATACTGTTTTCACAGAAGTCCAAGAGGACAGATGCAACGGCCAAATAAAAAGTTTGCATCTTATTGCCACTCTATCAGTACAGCAAGATCTGTCCTCTATAACTGCGTATTGCCTGCTTAAGAAATACATATTTATAATCGTTCAAAGTAACAACAGAGATTTGTGAGAAGATACTGCATTTAATCAGAGCGTTTGATGGAAGCAAATATATCCTTCTTACTGACAGTAACAAAGAATAAACTCAGCATGATTTTTTTTAATAGGTTGAAGACTAGTTCACTTCCATGAGATGCACAGAGATCTCATACGAAGGAAAAGAGAACAGCCCTCCCCTCCAGCACGTCTTGTGGCTGCTCGCTCATAAACCTGGATAACGCCAGGCTTTCACCCCGTACCATGGCAGCGCCGCCTTTCATAGGGAGCGGTGAAAGCACTAGAGCACTCTGCAGCTGGACGTTTGCCAGCACCGTGCAGATGTTCGCTGACAGGAGGAGGGATCTGGGAGCGTGGACAATAATTCTATGGTGTTTGCAGTGACAAAACGCACGTTATGTTACTTTGAAAAGGTGATGCCACGTTCTCTAACGCACTGAGTTTGTTTCACCTCTGTGGCACAGCAGTAGGATTGGTCGCAGCTGCCAGGGCTTTGACTGTGGTCACGGGAAGCACGGTGGGCAGTGCTGTGGCAGGCATGGCATACAGGATGCTCCGACTGACCAGTCTTCCCTTTTTATACTGTTTTTCCTTGACAAGTAATGATGAGCAGAGGTTGCTCTGCAGAGGTAGTTTCTCTGTGTGTAAGAAGAGGAGAGCTATAAATGGGTCTGTTTATACCTCCCAAGATCATGTAGGAGAAGCAGCAGTTGCAAGTGGCAAAGTAGTGTGGTTTTTGTCTTCTTAAAGAGATGGTAGTGCACTCCAGCAAGATGATAGCTCACATTTTCTGTTGCTGTTTGCAGTAACAGGAAAGACAAAGGAGTACTCTGACCTCACAAAGTTAATTTCCGAGCCTTTTTCAAAGTAGTGTGCCTCATGCTCTATGGGGAAAGTAACATATCAGGATTCAGTAAAAATTCTTTTCTCAGATCCTCCATCTCCAGCCACCTTTTTTCTTCCTCCCTTTTAGAAGAGGCCTTCCTTTCCATCAGCAAGCAGTGTTGATGGCAGAGCCAGTTCGGCCCGTGAGTGGACCCTCGGCAGCCACCTGTCCTGCATGGTGGTGGTGGTGGTGGGCTCGCCCCGGCGAGGTGCAGGCGGCACTGCTGCCTGCCACTGCACCGGCGGCTGAGTGGGCAGAGCTGCTGCACATAGCCTTCTGCTCCCGGGGCTCCTGTCAGCGCTGGGCGAACGTCAGCCGATTGTTATTCATTCCTTGGGCTGATGATCCTCCAAACAGTGGGAGAGTTGCAGAGTAGCTTAGTTATACTTGACGCGGTGGAGTCGCGCGTTTGGTGGTGTCCATGTCTCACGTATACCTGTATATAGCGTCAGTAACCCCCATGGCTGAGAACGTGCTGGCAGAGCATGTAAAGGCAGCCCAGAGGTATAAAATGCCTTCACCTCAAGAAATCATCTGCGGTGCCATTCTTACAGTTCGCTCAGGGGTTTATTAGACAGTGATGGATGCAGGACTGTTTGCAGAGAGTTACTTTCATCTAGTGCTCTGTGACTCTTCTGCCACTGGGGATCCTTTAAACCAAAGGTGTGCCTTCAGTTAAGAAATCATGGAGGGGCTTTATATCTTCTTAGTTAGCTGCCAGGAGGGGAAGGTGATGGTTTTTATTTTTCTTTAACAAAAAGGCTTCATTTTAAAAAGTGCTTTTGTAACTCTTGAATCAATGTATTTTTTTTCAGGCTTTGCAATGTTATTTTCCAGAGGTTTATAGTGGTTTAACCTAGGTGCTAAGCAAAATTCTCTTTGTCCTCAATTCAGAACATGGGGGTTTATCCTTTACATACCAGAAGGTGAGTCGTACAGATTGATCTATTTAGAGCTCCCTGGCTACAGTTTCTGCCGTAATGATTTCTTAAACATTTGACTTTTTCAGGTAGCTACAAGGCCAATGATTGCCCTCCCTCCACACTTGGAACCTTTTACAGAAAGCAATTACAGCTTCCCAGGTGTGCTCTTTCTGAGACCCCAGCAGCGAGAGGGCTCTGCCCCATCATTAAGGTCACAGTAGTGCTTCCCTCCACCAGCTGCTGTAGCAATGTTACGTTCCTCCTGCAGGCAGGGAGAAGATGTGACCAATTATGCCTATTCCTATTAATCAGCTGAACGCAGGCTCCTCTTCAAAGTGGAAGGGGAGGTTGCTCCTACTGACTGTGTCGGTTACTGTTCTCTTCCAGCTCTGCGTTAACTCCATCTTCCTGTAGTATGTTTTACGTCAGGGTTATGTCAGCAGAGCCTTTCCAGAATAACCTGACCCTTGATGTCAAACTCAGTTGGAGCTGGAATCCAACGGAAGGGATTTTTGGTGAAACCGATCCCTTGTGACCTCTCTCGTAAGGCTGCCTGGGAACTGCATACACTAATGGAAATAACGAAACGGTGACCTTATGTGTCCTCAGGCTGCTGGGTGCGATCCTGCACAGCACAGTGTTGCGTGTGTGTCAGGTTTTTAAGGAGGGCTTTGCAGGTGCCCCCACCTACCTGTGTGCCCTTATAATGACTTGGCTGCAGATTAAAAGGTGATACCGTTTTAATTTGCACTGTTAAATCAATTCTATTTGAGGATTAATTTTCTGTCTGGCCTGTTCTAAAGGCAGTGTTCATCATGAAAGTGGCTGTGCATAAACGGTAATGTCATTGCATTTTCTCTCATCAGAACAACGAAATGGTGGAGCTACAGAGGATACGAATGAAAGATGAAATTCGAGAGTACAAATTTCGAGAGGCCAGACTCCTACAGGACTACACCGAGCTTGAGGAAGAAAACATCACTTTGCAGAAACTGGTGTCCACACTGAAACAGAATCAAGTAAGCATCGAAAGATTCGAGGCACTATGCTGGAAAATGACACTATTTTCTCAGATTTCCATAATGTGATCTCACAGAGCACTTTGGTAGAAGTTTCTTTGTATGGTTTTTTTCAGTTGGGTTTTCACTAAACACTTATTATGAAATAGTGTTATTGGTCATTTTTGACATATGGGCAGGCCTTTACCTCAGTTTTAGGAAAATTCTGGTGGAATATTTCATTGTAGAACTTCGTAATAGCAGAGAAATTATTAAAATAAAGAGAATCGCATCTTTTCACTTCCTCCTTTTCCTCCCCTCCCTCCCTGCATGCTGAACTTGGTGCCCAGTGGCAGACTTCAGCCCTCCGTTTCCTCTTGGTTGGTTTCCTGCACGTCCTTTCCTCTTCTGAAGTGGAGAAAAGAGGAAATAATCTTCTCCCCGTTCCCCTTTTTTCCCCCTACTCCTCAGGTTTTCCTGCACCAGTGTTGCTCTCTTCTCAGCCATGCTAATCTGCAAGTTTAGCAAGCTTCAAAAATAGGCGAAGGGACATCAGATGTTCCTACTTTGTCTTTTTTTTTCCCGTTACAGCAATTTGCAGTTGCTGGCAAACCAACACACTGTAATTCTCAGTGCAGTGCAGAATGCACCCTGAGGAACCGCCATAAGCAACAGCCCCATTGCATCCAGATGTAAGCAGTGGTGGAGTCTGTTCTCTCCCCCTTACGAAAGCAAAGCTTCCTTTGCTGCTGAGAATATGTGCCGCTGAGGAAGCACTCCAGAGCACAGAGTTGTCCTTTGAATTGGACAAGAGAGATTTGTTCTCACCTCAGAAGAGTTAACATGCCGTGATCAATATTTAAGTATCCAAGTTGGATGATGTAACGCTTTCTGCCTTTCAGATGCTGTCCAAACATGTGTAATGTCGCCCCGCGTTGCAGCCCCTGGTTTATGCCCTCACCTACTGTCTGGTTCAGTTAGGGCTTTTATCAAATAGCCAAGACTGTCACAGTCTCTAAGTCAGCCTGGTAACAAAGCTGCCTTATTCCTGCAGGAATATGCAGTGCTATTTCAGCTATCTTTTACTGCTGTTTTACTGCTCTAGCACAAATGCGATTGCAACGTTTAAAACAACAGAGCCATGCTGCAGGGAATGCGCAGGTAATACAGATGAGTGCATTGTTTCTTGATTTATGAAGATACCCAGACTTTCACGCTCCTGAAACTGAATTTATAGCAGATCATCTTCGTGTCAGAGTTATTTACCAAGCTAGCAAATTCCCCCTTTGAGGCATGGATTTTTTTCCTCACCAACCTCATAGGAGGCATTTTCACACTATCAGGAAATTAAAGACCCCTTTATGGACTGTTCTAGTTTCCCCCAGAAGAAAATCTGTTTGCAAGTGTTTATATTTGTCATATTATTTCATTCTTAATGAAGCCAAATGCCAGCAGTCTGCGGAGAGAAAAAGCATGGCCACATTTTGAATGGCTTTAAAAATCTGTCATTTTGCATCACATATCCATGTGCTTGTGATTCCTAAAATAACTTTGATCTACAAGATAAAATTTCAAGAGCATTTCATACTTTAATACTTCACTTTACAAAACGAAATGTTACAAGCCTTAGTGCTAAACTGTCGTTGTCTGAGTTGGGGTTTTTTGTAGCTTTTGTAAGCAAGAATCTCTGAGGTTTTAACTGTATAGATAATATAGACCTCTGATTTTTATATGGATTTAAAATTTTAAAAGCTTTAGTTTTCCATGTCCTTAAGTTATAAATATAGCTACTTGATGAGATGTAATAATATTTCAGGTGGGCCTCTCTGTCCAGTCAGAAAAGATATCAAATTCCTAAATGTAGATTTCAAAATATCATAAATTTTCCTTTTTTTCTTTAACATATGCCAGTATGACTTTGGAACTTTCTGTGTTGTTTGAACTGTTTCCATTCTCTAGGTTTGAAGATTAGTGCTTTGGTTTTTAAGCTTGCCTTTCTAAAGGCTTATGAGTACAAGACTTCTGATAGGTTGATGACTATTCTGCTCCAATAGGAATGGTTGATATTTTTATTTGTACCAGAACCTTATTATAGTTTGTTTAAATATGTATATGTCAAATAAAAAAATATTCTAGACAACGCCTTAAAATTGCAGATAATAATGCATATTAATGCACTTGAATGAGAAAAGCCACAACTGAAAAACGCTTTTTTTTATGGAAGCAAGAAAATTCAGTATTTCTTTTCCTCTTTCACCAAACTGTTAAATCATTTCACCTGATACTGGGAATTTTTTTCATTTAGAAATGAAAAGGTGGATGAGTAACTTGATTAGAATTAAATTAAAAATCAAAGCACGATCATTTTTACCAGGAGATTTGGTCAAGCATGAACAAGGACTTTTACAAACAAAGCTCTTCCTTTTCATTGCTGTAGGATTTTGCAACAGCGAAAGGAAGATGAGGAGGGCCAGCAAGAGAGGGCAATCTGCAGTGGGGATCGGCTGCACCATCTAGATATTGCTGAGCAAATGGTTTTGAGCTAGATTGGTTTTACCTAGGTTTTGCTTCTTGTTAGGTGCAATAGGAAAGACTGAATAAACACGGGAGCTGCCTTTTAAAGAAGAGAGAAGAAGCTGTTGCTTTCCTCAGCCCACGCTGCCTGTAAATACCTTGATAAAATACTGCACTTAGGTGTGAGGCAGCGAGCCTGCCCTCTGAGAAGGAGAAAGACCAGCCAGTTTCTCCAAGCCTGGTGAGGCTGCACCAGGTCACTGGGGGAAGTGTCTCAGGTAGCGCTGTTGGAGCAACAGGTTGCCAAGTGCTCCAAAATGGTATCCTCAACGCGCGGTTCACGGATCGTGTGACTGGATAAGCTGTTTACTACATTTGTCTAGTAGTTTAAAAATCTCTAACAAACTGGGGCATCTTTGAGTTTAAACTGATTATATGAATAATTTGCTGTTTAATTTTTAAAATCAAATACTTGAATAATGGAGAGGCTCGTATGACACAGAGAAGAGAGCTGAGGCTCTTCTACAGTTTTTGTATTTGAACGCTACTAAGACATCAGATAGAGTATCCATGCCTGAGTGACTTGACATCTGGTAAGAATTTAGATAAGAAGTCATCTTCATAATATTTGCAATTAATAAATCTGACCACATTAGCCTGAGGTCTACACATACCATGATATACCGACATTGCTTACGGCAATTTGTAATAGGTCTATGGTTACCAGAATATCTGCTACTAAACAGCCTTCTTTCCATGAAATACATTATTTAATGTTATAAGTTACTCAGAAAAAGGTGGTGTTATATTTCTTGATTCTTATGTGCTGAAAAAGTGAGCAGTCGAGTATTTAACAGAGCGAGTTCCACTTGTGGTTTCTGTGCAGCCATTTCTTTGCAGCTGCAGGCAATGTCTGGTATTTCAAACTGTGTTTTCTGTAACACCTATTTCAATAAGGCTGATAAATGGCAGGTTTTCATGACTTAAGTTTTAGTATTATGAATGTTCTTTGTCTTGTCTAATTCAGGTTGAATATGAAGGCTTAAAGCATGAGATTAAACGATTTGAGGAGGAGACAGTGTTGCTTAATAGTCAGCTGGAAGATGCCATCCGGCTGAAGGAGATTGCTGAGCATCAGCTGGAGGAAGCTCTGGAAACTTTAAAAAATGAAAGAGAGCAAAAGAACAATCTGAGGAAGGAACTTTCCCAGTATATCAACCTCAATGATAGTATGTATAACAACCATATTAATATATCAGTAGATGGATTGAAGTTTGCAGAGGATGGAGGAGAGCCCAACAATGACGACAAAATGAACGGACATATCCACGGGCCTCTCGTGAAACTCAATGGTGACTACCGAACTCCCACGGGTAGGAAAGGAGAATCTCTGCACCCCGTCTCTGACCTCTTCAGTGAGCTCAACATATCTGAAATACAGAAACTGAAGCAGCAACTCATGCAGGTAAGAGCTGAATTTAGTGTCCTGAAGTGTTTAGACACACATCCTGTGGACCCTAGTGCCAGCTTTTGCAATGATTCCTCCTAGTGACGTTGTTGACCACATATGTCCTGTTCTCAGACTTCTTTGGTGTTTCTTCATATTCAGGTTTTGCTAGAAATATCCCCAAGCAAACAGAGTATCTGTCTGCAAAAGTCCGTGTGATCTGAGCAGACGTTTAGTGCAAAGAGGAGAAAGGGATGTGGTTGCAGATGGTTAGATTCTTTTTTTTCTTGCTTTGATAATGGGAAACGTCCCTGAAATTGCAAGTGGAAAAAAGTACTCTTCAGTATGACAAAGCTATCTGGAAGAAAACCCGCTAAAATACAGACAGACTTGGTTATGCTCCCTTGCAAGTCAGAGGGAGTTTTTGCCGTTAAATTCAGTTTGAGCAAGATTTGGCATACCATCAAGAGAGAACAAAAGGAGAGGAGCGCTCCTCTTAATAACTGCGTGCTCAGAGAGCATGTGGCCTGTGAGATGTCACAGAGTGCCCTTGTCCACGCTGGCAGACCCAGCGGGTGCGTGGGCTGCAGGGGGTGCCTTGGGGACCATACTACCAGCATTTGTTCTCTTATTTGTCCAAGCCCAGCCCAGCCATAACCGGAATAGCAGCCTGGGATGCAAGCCAGATGAAAACTCAAGCTGCCGGCCCCAACGCTGACATCATCTTAGAAAGGGGTACAGTGCCACACAGAGCAAGAGTCCTGCTGATAGGCTGTTGAGCATCTTCTCAGCCACAAGAGCTTGAAAGGCTTTGGCACCATCAAGGAAACATCCAGCATTTTCTAGCTGCAGGCTTTCTAGAAGTGCTTCCTCTAAAGAGAGTAAATGTAAATCCTTTACTGCTTAAAATACAAAAGGTGATTTGGAAGTAAAGTAGAGCAAACCCGATTTTCAGTGCTTGCTAGAGAACAATAAATCCCTACGTGACCCGTCCTATATTTGCTGAAGAGTTAATTGTTTTATTTACTTCACTGCTGAACTCACGGTGGGAAGTTTTGATCTGAGCTGTGACATGGCAAACACTGATGACATCTAGTGCTTTGCACAAACAGCTTTGATGCAAGACATACATAATTTAAGTGGGAAAGCTTGAAATTTAGGATTTTTTTTTTATATGAAAAGTTCTGTCAAACTTTTCCAGTATTAAAATGTAAATAGTGTATGTATTTTGTGTATACATGCGTATACAAAAATACACGTGTATGTACATATACATTTATGTATATAATATATGCACGTATATCTTATATGTAGCTTTTGATTTCATTCAGAAATTCAATGTTAAAAATGAAAAAAACACAGCTTCAGAAGAAATGCTTTAAAATGCTCACGTTTTTAACCATAATTTACAATGAAGTATATGCAATATAAATTTGGAGTGAAAGCTACTTGGAAATGAAAAAAAAAAAAAGATTGTTTTGGGTATGTTTTGTCTTGATTTTATTAAATTAACTATTGAGCTTGATGAATCGGCAAACAACTGCATGAAAGATACTGCAACTGTTTTTGTTATCTCTGACTTAAAAACGTGTTTATTTTACACTTCTTAAACAAAGAGGCAGCCTTCTGAGAGTCTTCAGCCTCAGACTTAGGACCCTAGAAGGACCCTAGAAGATAAATGTAACAACTTTTTGGTCACAACGACTTTGCTGGGCCCCAGCACCCTCATGCCAATAGTTGCCACCATTGCTTGGCATTCTGATCCTGATAAAAGATCTACGGTTTAAAAAGAAAGACTAGACCTAGCTGGAAACCTGATTTCTTTAGTTACTGAGAAGGCTTACAGCAAAACGCTGATGTGCACTTTTTATAAATTGATCATCTTCTCTGTTGAGTTGCATCAGCTCACCTTGGGTCACACAAATTAAAAGTGAAAAATTCCTCCAAAAATTTTCCTCATAGTGGATGGGAGATTTAATCAAGTTCAAGCTGACAAAAGGTAATTCTTCAGCAAAACTGTGTTTTTTTTCTCCTCTACAGTGTGTTTGCCATGTGGTGTTCATTCAGCCATATCTCAATATTTGTTATGTGTTCCTCTTTTTTCTCTGGAAAGGCCGTACTCTGACAGAGTTGCTGAAGGAACTGACCCTCTCTTGTGAATTATTTTTATGTCTATAGGACAGCAGGCTTCTCTTTTGAGAGAAGTAAACTTCAGATTTGCCATTTTATACGTATGGCAAATTTTTTCACATTTCAATCTCAAAAAAACAATCCTTCACAAAACAGGTAATATAATAGATATAATTCCTTCTGCAGCTTTAGCATGCTGCTGCTCCATGATCTGTGCTGGTCCCAGGAGAGATTTAATTGTTGCTGTTCCCTTTCCGTCTTTTAAATCCACTAGGTAACAAATGTCTTGCAGAAAATTCTCGTATTCCGAGATTTTTTTCTGAAAAGCTCAAGCTTTCTGCACTTCCTTCATGTTTTTTGTCCAGTGGAAAGAATTCTCTATCTCATCTTTAAAGCCTAGGACTCCTCTCTTCCTTCCATGGTACTCGTGAGGCCAATATCATGTTTGGAAAACTTAGAATAAGTTCTCTTAAAAAAAGAAAGGGAGGGAAAAAAGGTCATGCAGCCCAGTTTCTAGCACTCTCCTCCAGCTGCCTGGTACTCTCTGACAAATATGATACGGCTAATACTCAGGGTTATTGAGCTGACTTTTCCCGTTAATTTGTTCCAGTCTCCACTAGGAATCGTTCAGTGATATTTTGACATTAATTTAAATAAATAATAATAATAAAAAACACAAATAGCAATGGTAAAATTAGCTTCCATAATTGCGAACTATGGAGCAAATTGTGAAAGAAATCTCCTCAAACTGAAATCTTTGAAGGTAAGGATGCATAGCAAAACAGGTACAGCTACTTTTGAATTGCTTTTATTTTCATTTTAAGATGATGAAGATCCTTACTTTAGCTACTCATTTCAGTGTCAAGAAAAACTCCACCAACTGTAGTGAAAATAACTGCAAATCCCAAAAGTTTGCTGTGGGTGGAAATAAGAGTATAGTGTTGTCTAGAACAAGGAATATAATTACCTTGCTTGGAAACAGCAGAGCCATTAACATGCAGAAGGTGTGCTCAGGGCTGAGTTGGAGCTTTGGAGGTTTTTTTTCCCTTGGAAGTAGGAGCATATATTTATAACTTTATCAGAAGCGATTAGCTTAAACCATAATTACTGGACCAGAATGAGTAAAATTTAGTAGATCTACATATTTCATTTTACCTACTGTCCAAGTTGGTGTATGGGTTTTAGAAGTTGTATCTTTTCTCTGGAAGCGATCCTTTCTATTTGTAAGATGTATTTGTTTCTAGAACTCATGTTCAGCAGAGAAATGATCATAAAGATCCTAATTAGCTCTGTTACAGTTTTCCTTCATGATAGAGTACGACAGCTGAGATTGGTAATCTGGCAGGATCAATTCTGTCTGATTAATTTAAGCAGACGCTGAAACACTGTGCTGCTTTAACACTGAGTTGGTTTCTCAAAGGAAAAGCTCTCTGGCTGTAAACTCTATATTTATTTTTACACTAGTGCGATCTACGGTTAATTGCGTACTTCCGTGCCCACAGAGAACCCATACACCTTACACACCAAAGGCAGTTGGCTTTTTAAGGTGTGCATCATTATTTTCCATACCACTTCTCACCATAAGGTGAGATGGTCCTTTTAATTAAGCAAAACTCAGATTTTCATGCACACGTGGAGTTGTCTTTTCCAGCTTGAAGGAGTAAAATACCTTTGTTATCTGATGAGGGTGAGCAATTAACATCCAAGCCTGCTATACCAGGTGGTACCAACTAGAGTTCAGCTGAAAGTTTCTGGGGAGAGCAAATCTTGGGCAGATTACTCAGTGGAAAAAACAGAGGAAAGCTAGTGAAGAGGCTTCTGCTGGGTCGCTCTCTGAGGTTCTTCAGGACAGGTCTGACCAAGAAATCTGTGGAGAGCAGCAACGTTTTAAGAAGATGCTCTTGGCAACGGGGAAGGTTGCACTATTACGGATTTTTCTCAACAAGAGTGGGCTCACACAGGTGTTGAGCAGTAAGGGGGATGGCTGTCAGACTGGGGCAACAATGGGGGAACAACATCAAATGGAAAAAGATACCAATATACTCATGGTACTCAGCTGTCCTCTTCTGCACAGACTATGTAGTGCCTAAAATGGAGCGCTGTTCATCTAAGGAGACAGACTCTTCCTGGATCATAAAATAATTATGAGGTTTGGCCCTGGTTTTTTAATTCTTAAGCCATCAGTCATCTGTACATGAGAAAACTAGGCTGAATTTTTTTTAGATGTTTTTAACATGGCTTCTATTTTTATTCTTACAGTTTTTGCCTGCAGTTGATTGCAGGTTCTAATAGAGGCCATGTTTTGAAACTGCGTTTGTAAAACCAAGGGATCATCATATGCTTTAATACTTCTGAGCAGCAGCCAGTGCTTGGAACATTTTGTGAGATGGCATTAATACCCTCTCCATCTCTAAAAGGCTTTTCTTTTCCTTCAGTAAGAAGTAAGATTTGACTGTCTTCCAAACGCTACCTGGGGGGATGCTGATAGGGAAGGAAAGACTTTTTAAATGTTTTTTCTGAACTGACAGCCACTCAGGGGAGAGTGTGCTGTTTTCACTGCATATGTAAACACAGGGCTAAGATACTGCAAAAGTGGGAGAGAGAGAGGAGAAACCCTGGTAGGCTCTGGATCCTGTTGCAAAAGCTATAAAAGCACGAAGGATCCCATCTCCTTGTGCTTTCCTCTGCTTCCCAACTCACAACTCAGAACAGGACAAAGGCACAGAAGAAAAGTTGGAGCATTACACTTAAAACTTGAAATGGGAGTCTTTCAGGGGTGTTATCATGAGTAACAAATACCTGAGCAGATCAAACTTTACTTTTTTTTTTTGGTTCATTTGCTGTAAGATGCTGCGTATTAAAACTTCTAGGGGAGTCCTCCATGACTGCTTCTGCTGTTTGACATGCACATTTCTCTATGGATATTTGGAAAGGAACTTAATAGGTCAGGACCAGTGGTTTGGTAGCATAACACAAATCCTACTTTTTTCTGCCTTTTGTTTAACAGGATGGATTTTTCTTACAGTGAACTGCCAGGGATGAGGAGTCCTGGGAGTTGCATGCGCTCAGTCTCCTGATCTGTGTTAACATTCACACGTAGTGAGTTACTTAATCTAATCTGTGGAAATGTACACAGCCATTTGTTTACCACATTTGCATTCAGTAATCAAGCCTTAATGAAAGTTTGCAACAGTCCAAAGTTATAAATAAATATTGTGAAGGGTTGGTAGAGCTATTTATGGGAAATATGAGTTCAACCTCCATTAAGAAATGTGTATGTACCAGTGGAAAGGCTTAGAGTTGACTGATAGTTGAGAGCGAATGCAGTTCATGCCTATTAAAATTCAGGGAACATATGTCATAATAAATCCTGTATCATCACTCTAGTTTAGTGCTTGGCCACCGAGTGATTCTTCAGTGGGCAACACGTAAAATTGCAACCTAGTGATATTGTAAATTGTAACAGAGACTGGAACTTCATAACCCCGTACAAGTTATACATATCTCTCTGACTTTTATGGTTTAGGGATGTATGGCTAAAATATCTTTGAAGCCTTCAAGTTGCATACGCAGAAGAGTAGGGGAGTGGAACAGATGAACGCGATTGCAGGGTTTGATGTTCAGCAGAAAAGCACAGGTGGGATGAGATCCAGGTTTCTTACTTTGACTCTGTTGCAGGTGGAAAGAGAGAAGGCCATTCTCCTGGCCAACCTGCAGGAGTCTCAGACACAGCTGGAACACACCAAGGGAGCCCTGACCGAGCAACACGAGCGAGTCCACAGGCTCACGGAGCACGTCAACGCCATGAGGGGCCTGCAGAGCAACAAGGAGCTGAAAGCTGAGCTTGACTGTGAGAAGGGCCGAGACCCCGGCCAGGAAGCACACGACTACGAAGTGGACATCAATGGCTTGGAGATCCTAGAATGTAAATACAAAGTAGCTGTTACTGAGGTGATAGACCTTAAAGCAGAAATCAAAGCCTTAAAGGAGAAATACAATAAATACGTGGAAAACTACACAGAAGAGAAGGCCAAGTACGAGAGCAGAATCCAGACGTACGATGAACAGGTGACAAACCTGGAGAAGTCGACAAAGGAAAGCCAGGAAAAAATGGTCCACATGGAAAAGGAATTGCAAAGGATGACAAGCATAGCAAATGAAAACCATAATACCCTCAACACCGCCCAGGACGAGCTGGTGACATTTAGCGAGGAGCTGGCTCAGCTCTACCATCACGTCTGCCTGTGCAACAACGAGACACCAAACAGGGTCATGTTGGACTATTACAGGCAAAGCAGAGTCACCCGCAGCGGCAGCCTGAAAGGACCGGACGACCCTCGAGGGCTCCTTTCCCCGCGGCTCACCAGAAGAGGGGTGGCATCACCCGTAGAAGCCAAGACCCCGACCGAGCAGGTGACAAAAGAGGCCACGGAGCCTGGCAAGGAGCAGAGCCCGACGAAAACACCTACTATTTCTCCTGTCATCACAGCCCCTCCTTCCTCCCCTGTCTCTGATACCAGTGACATCCGCAAAGAGCCGATGAACATCTACAACCTCAATGCCATAATAAGGGACCAAATCAAGCACTTGCAGAAGGCTGTCGATCGGTCGCTGCAGCTGTCGCGCCAGCGTGCCGCGGCTCGGGAGCTGGCGCCCATGATCGATAAGGACAAGGAGGCCTTAATGGAAGAGATACTGAAACTGAAATCACTCCTGAGTACAAAGCGGGAGCAGATCGCAACCCTGAGAGCGGTGCTGAAAGCCAACAAGCAGGTAAGATGCTAATAAAGCAGTCAGTCGGGAGCGTCTGTTATTTATACAGGTCACTTACAAGTTTTCCCAGGAGTATTTCAGGAGAGAGATTTTACTCACAGGTTATTTAGCCTCTCACTCAATCATGGTGAGGGCAGACCTTTCTTCCCTCCCTCCCCGCCTCCTCTTTCAGCTCTTTAGCTCTTCTTTTCTCAGCACCCACCATTGTAAATTGTAAGAGACTGGAACTTCATAACCCTGTGCAAGTTATACATATCTCTCTGACTTAATTTTATGGTTTAGGGCACAGGCAGAAGAGCCTTTCCTGTGGAGCAGGAGAAAAGCAGAGGGGCAGGGAGGGATCAGCTACCACCCAGCCTGAGGCACGGGAGTCTTCCTATTATTATTGATAAACAAAAAGATTTCCAACACTGGTAAACAAAATGGAGTGTGCATGGAGAGGCTCTCAGGGGTGTGCCCTGGGGTGATGGGGAAGGCAAAAGTCTAAGGGAGACCACCTGGGCCAGCACCTCAGCAGCTGCAGGTGGCCCCACCGGTGGGGTTTAGTGAAGCAGGTGGCCCAAGCAACCCATCGCATTCTTCTTGGCCCTTGGTAACACTCCACAGGCTGCAAAACTCGAATGTCCCTCCAGCAAATTTAAGGGGATTAAAAATAAATGCCACAAAAGCTAAAGCACACCTTCGGAAGAGAATAGCAGGCGTAAGAGTGTGACCAGTGGCTTTGGGCTATACAGAAGCTGGACATTTCGTTGATAAGACTGTAGGTGAAATGCTGAGTTACTTTCATTACAAGTGGTTGTATGTATTTTTTTTAAATTATCTATCGATCTCTTTAGTCAGAAAGAATTTCTTCTGTCATTGTAATGTTTTTAATCCTTCAAGAAATAAAATCAGGGGTTTGATTATTTTAAGAAAGAGACATTATTACTACATGATAAAGCTGACTGAAACAGTAACTGCAATTTTTTATTTTGAGAAGGATTCACTGTAAAGTTATATTTTAAGGGAATAAAAAAAATCAAATTGTTATTTTGGAAATTTTCACAGCTCAAAAAAAATCATCAAACCACTCTATTTTTGATGTTGCGCCATTGCAAATAAACTGAGAATTTTACCGCATTTTATGTCAAATGCCAACAGAGGACCATGTAAAGTTTATTTTTAAAGACAACTGTCATTTTTTTTTTTGCACAGTGTATCCTCCCAAGCCCTTTGCATCTGTTCGATTCCAGGTCCGCAAACACTGTAGAAGGTTAAATTTAAGCATGCAAATAGTTTTATTTACTTTGGTGCATCTACTTATGGCCAGAATTCAGCCTGAATGCAAGAGGCTGCAGCAGCAGACTCATCATTCCAGATTGCCTGGGACTTTTCTCATCTAAAAGCAGTGCAGGGATCACCAACACATGGGGGCATGAATCCTGGTTAACAGCTTAGGATACTATTAGCTAATGATAGTGATGGGATTTCAGTGTTAAAATTCCCAATAGTCAAGTAATTTGAAGTTACAGTTTCAAGTTTAATTGATTGTTGGATCTGTAACTGCATTTCTAGAGTACTGGGGATTTTTAAATTGCAGCAATATTTCAGTATGCATTGAGTCTTTTATAGCATTTCCCCTCCTCCAGTACAACGCATGTTAAATATTAATTCAAGTAATTAAATACCATCTCTAGCTAAGCAGTATTAGCTCTGAGCAATTATATGTGGATTTTCCATGTAATTAAAATGTAATTAAGATGTAATTGAGGTGTATGGGTTTAGATTCCAAATGAAAGATTTTTTCCATTAGCATAGAGCTATCATTTATTTTTTTGATACTACCAGAGAATCTAGCTTGCTCTTGCTTTTTTATTGCTGTCAGTAATAAAGCATCATCCTAAAGCATGCTCACTGAAATGAGAAAGATAGATCTGCTGAGTAAGGAGGTGCTATTAATTAAATTTTTATTTATTGGATAGCAGCACAGATCTTGGTAACTGTACAACTGGGTGTGGAATCTTGCAGTGCTGTTCATGCAAACCTAATGTCAACGTCTTCAAAATTTCAAGTTAAAAGACATAATAATATAAATGGATAGGAGAAATTTAAAGTTATGGGGGTGGGAGGTTGAGGCGAGGGGGGAGTTTTATTATGTGCTAGCAGTACTGTCAGCCTCAAGTGATGGGTGTATCCCAGGATCTAAAGCACATCTCATGTTCAAAAAACATGAGGCAAGATTCATCCCCTTGAATTCTTATCCTCAAAATAGTGAAGTTTTTAAGCTGCAATAGGCTGGGAACATTTTTCCTTTGTGGCTTTCAGTTCAGACGAGCCTACAGAGGACATCTAGTTCAGTTTGTCCCGTTTGCTCCAGAACCACAAGAGCTAGAATTTTCATTTGTTAAAAACCTTCCTCAAGTCTTAATGAAGCTCATGTTAATATAAAACTATGTCTTTTCATCCGTTATGTAGTATGGTAAGACACTGCTGGTGCCCGAGGTAGCAGGGGAGAGCTGCGGCAGCCCCTACGAGAGGGAAGCCTGCAGCTGGAGGGGGGCTGGAGGCCCTGGCCCATCCTCATCTTCCAGAGGGTCCACATCACCGCTCATCATGCTTTGTAGAAATACTATCGCAAAACTCCAAAAAAGAGACACTTCAGGTGAAGCTTTTTTGGTTGAAATAATATTGGAAAGCCAGATGAGCACAATCGAGTGCACAGTAAAAATGGCAAGACCTGGCCTTCCTAGAGAAGGGATTCCTAGAGAATCTCGCCATTCAGATCCAGGGAGGAAGACCAGCAGCAGGCCCCTCGGTCTGGTATTTCGGGCTGTATTCGGTAGTAAAGTCACCCCGTAACCAGGGAGGCACGGGTGCTATCTAGCGACCACTAGAAGTATCGCAACGCCAGATTAAAATGAGAATTGTAGTTTTCCTGACAATACACTTTGTCACAGTGCACTGGCATCCTCTGTTTTCCAGCCAAAAGGTTCATCGAAGAAAGAGGATTTCTGCCTCTCGACTTGAATCGTGTTCCCTTGTCTTCACAGGCACTTACCCGACTGCAGGAGAGCCCCAAAGGCGTCTCTGTTTCTGTCCCCTCTTCCCACAGTGGGCCTGGCACTCCAGCAGTGCAGTCGCACCCTTTAAATCTTTAACAGCATACAACAAATTTCCCTTTGAACCTGACAAGATTTTGCCTCGTTCAACACACTTGGTGATATTTCTTTTTAATCTTGCTGTATTTTTTTTAGTTTTTTTTTTTTTTTTTTCAAATAAGCTTAGGCTACGCCGCAAACAGACTACACAAAACTCTATAATTCAAAAAAAAAGGGCAAGGTTTGCTCTAAGAAGCTGGAAACCCAAGCCCAGGGAAAAAAAAAAGGTTATTAAATCAATTGCTCGAGATAGCAAGACACATATATTTTGCTAGCTTGCTTGCTTACCTTGTCTTGATTTATGTATCCATTTATTCATATAGCCATAATTACTACATCAGCATCAGTTTTGTGGAGCAAACCTAAGTAGCATTAGCATTAACAAGTAGCATAAATTGTAAAGTAATATCAAATTAATGATATAATAACCTTTAGGACCAGCTCGATAATGGTATTGATTTTGATTTCTAATAACATTCAGAAAGCAAAGCCGCCTATAAGGGGAAATTAATATCCTGAAGTTCTGATTGAAAAACGATTGGTTCTTCTCGTAGGTAAATGGTCTGATGGGGAGTTGAGTCAGCAAGACCTTCACATGTGTATTGGTAGTAACTATGGTGTCTCCAGCTCCCATAACCAAGATATCCATGAAAGTCTTTCAGAAAACATAGCTGGATAACCCCAGACACACAGTACCTGATGTGGAAACAAAGGCCCTGATGCTATAGAGAGAGAGTGCTGGGTGAAAAAAATCTCATAGCATGTATGATTTCTGCATTGAAACAACAGGCTACTGTTCTGCTTTCTTGTGTGAAAAAATAAAGTACTTTTTTTTTGTGCTCTACATTTCCATGTATGTTGCTCAGAGGTTGCATTTTTATGTGGAGCTACATTCTCTAATTTCTCTGACACAGTTCTGTAGTTAACCACAGTTTAAAATCAAATGCTTCAGAAAGAGCTGTTAAAGCCAGGTCCTGGGTGTCTGCTGCCTTCTGGCACCCACTGCTTGGAGATGTTGCCCCATCTTTCCTTTCAGAGCACCCTCTGAACACACCATTCACCCCTGGTCTTTAAAGTCCAGATTATCCCACAGAACTGGGTTCAGGCACAGCCTCACATATATGGCTCCATGGGCACAATTTTGGAGACTGGCTGAGATGGGGAACAAATATAAATAATTTAGACTAGAGCTAGCGCTGGAGGAAGAGTAACATGAAGCTATGGCTTCAGGTCATTTTGACCCTGTCACTCTTGGCACAGTATGGCAGTACAGCTGAGGTGACCAGACACATAGGTACCTCTGGAAGATGGAGTCCAAGTTTCACCTTCTCCCCTCAGCCCCACTCTCCTTCACACATTCTGACTTCAGGGTGCTTCAGGTGAGTTTTCTGCCTCTTCAGGCTCTCCAAACTGGCTCACAGTAACTGTAGAAGAAAACCACCAGGTGTGCAAAGGGTAGGTATGGGTAAAGGCCAGATATTTATCCTTTTGGTGACAGCTAGCCAATATAGGTAGACTTAGCTGCGTTGTAAAATGGCATTCTTTGAGCTGAGGAGTCTGATGGCAATCAGCTTCAGTCAGCATCCAGGTCCTAAACTGATGAGCTGTAGGTATCCTGTGCATCCTCACTGTTTGGTGCCAACCAGCTCTTACAAGGACCTCTTAAACCTGATGCTAAAGCGATACGCTGCTGTTCTGCTGGCCCTGCCAGCCTGTCTGCAGGTTTCCAAAGGAAGCTTCCCCAGCTTGCTTCCCCCTTCTTTCTCTTGCCTCTTAAAACCATATTTTTCTTAGTTTTATTTGCTTCTCTAGTAGAGCACTTGCACCCATTCATTTTCCACTTCAGAGACTTTCAGAAGGGCAACCCTTGACAGCCTGCAAAGGGGTACCCATGTTCAAAAGCTTGTCTAGTGTGTGGAGAGCCACCAGGCACTTCCAGTAGGTTTTGCAATTTATGCTTTGTCTTCTCTATGTTGTTTTATGGAAAACTCGAATCGAAAGAAAAAAAAAGGTTTGAAGATTTGACACAGTCCTTCCTCTGTTACCTTTATTGACCAAGTAAATTATATTTCTAAGTTATTTTTCATCCTGTAGTGTTACATGTCCTTTTAACTTACCCTGACATCCAGACTAAAACGTAGGGATCTGTCTGATCACTGTGCACTGTTTCCGTGATGTGTAAATTATTAGGCTTACATGGAATATGTAATCTCACTGCTGAAACAATTTAACAATTTTTTTTAAAAGTCTGGTGTTAGGTGGCACATATCTTTAACTCATTTTTATTCCTAAACAAAGGAAAAATCTTTACATGAATTGTTTATTCAAAGATGAGGTATGATAGGTTAATGGACATGGGGCTGTATTTCTCTTACAAAGCAAAAACATCTGAATTCCTGCCTTAGGGGCAAAGCAGAACTTGGTTTGAGATATAGAATCTACCTCTTCTCTCATAAATCACTTCTGCCTCATTAGTGACCTGAAAATTCTTAAATAAATGTGATTTAATCATATCTGTTAAATAGGAATTTGTCCTCTGATGCACTGTTTCCTAGATTTCTGTTGTGATTTTAGGCTGATCCAGCAAATAAAACTCACA